TCGTTACAAGTCCCAAATAATCCCTCTTCAAAATGTCTGAAGTCCAACGTCGAGTCTGGATCCAAATGTCACCAAGCTCTCTCTCTCTCCCTCGTAGTCTGCTGATGCAGTGAAGTCAGATAGCGAGAGGGTGAGAAGGAGATGGTGGACTAAGAAGAAGAACTCTCTCTCTCATGTGCCAGGTACTAACCTGTGAAGATGGCGCTGTGCTGCAGGTACCTCAAAGACGAAGCTGGAGCAACGGCGCTGCAGGTAAGTCCCTCTGGCCTCCGCCCAATCTCTCTCTCTAGTAGTACTCTAGCTGCTATGGCGCCCAGCGCTAAAGACTACAGCTAACGCTACTAGCGCCCAGCGCTGAAGACTACTGCTGACGCTGCCACTACTCCTGCAGCGCTCCTCCAGAGTGCTGCTGCCGAATCCTGAAGACTACCTCCTGCCTCCTGAACTGCACGTGAAGTGCCTGGGAAGTACCTAGGAACTACCTGCCTGCCTGCAGGGCGGGGGCCAGTCCTATATAGTGCTAGCCCGTCCAGGAGACTGCTCTTGCCAATGCCGAAAACCAGGGGTTGTCTTGAAAACAGGCCCAAAATGGCCTGTGCTAAAACCCTGGTTTGTTGCCCGAGTTTCGGGGCAGGTCGAACCGATGAGGGCCCGAAAATGGCCCTCAGTTGCAGGCTAGGCCCTTGTTTTCAGGTTTTCAGGCTGAAACGACAGAGGGCCTGTAGGCCCTTGTTTTCAGGCTGTCACGGGCCTGGAAATGGCCCGTGCAGCCTGTTGCAGGCGCAGCATGTAACACAGCGTCAGGTCATTCATTCATTCTTCCTGTGAACCGTGCGGAAGCCCTGTCGGAGCGTCTTGTGTAGAATGGTCTGCAGGTGCCCGAAGGAGAAGCGGGGTAAGAGGAGGAAGACGTGGCCATAGCCGCTTGAGTTAGTGTTAGGAGGTAGACGGCAGCCATAGCTGCCAGTTATCGTAGTTAGTTAGTGTGTGTGTGTGTGTGTGTGTATGAGTGTGTGTGTTTGTGTGTGCGGGATATCCAGGGAGATCCAGGGTGTGTGTGCAAACAAGTTGCTGAGAGTGCAACGATCGGCCATAGCCGATCGAGACAAGTCTGAATCTGAACCGTGTTCTTGGCTTCGTTATCTCTGCGCTTTGTGTGGGCGCAAATCGCCAGCTTGATCTTCATCTGTTTGTACCCATACCGAATGTCGAAGTCGACAAGTCTGATTGCACTGGTGCCAATCACAGACTGCATGCCGGCCAGGTGTGGCCTCATGGCTCCTACCTATTCTGATATCGGAGGGGTCAGCATCCTGGCACTATTCCAGCTCAACCAGCTAGTGAGTACCCTGACGCGCGGCGGCAGGACTGCCTCCCTACCCTACCTCACTTCAATTCTCCTAACCCACCCCCTATACCTACTATCCTACCTCAGTGGTACAAGCACTCAGGACAATCACCCTACCCCTCAGAGGGTGACATAGACCGAACAGTAGTTACAGGCACCTGGACTGGACTACCACCCCACCCAGCCCCAGTGGAAGCCTGACCACCATACCTTGTTACTCTAGGACTTTGGACATCAGGCACAATCAGTATCACTATCAGTCCATACCGACGAACCTCTGTGTCGTAACATATGTGTATGTGTAAGCAGTGTTTCAGTGACCGTAGGCTGTGTAATTTGCCCATAGGCCACGGGTGTACGCCCTAGGACGGTGTATAGATGCACCCGTAGGCAGTGTAGGTACCGAGAACCATGTGACACTGTGAGTATATGTATAACAGCTATGCCAGACTCGAGCTTATATCATGTCGTATGCAAGTAGGATAACCTACCATGCATGATGGATGATGGGGGAGATCATCAGAGTAACCAGTAGCCAATGTCCTCAAGTAAACCTGCGTAGATAGAATCCGACATATAACAACCCGGACTAACCCTTGGGTGGTGCGCAGACGGTGTCTGTAATAGCTTACCTGCGTCAGCCCAAGGGGGTGTGTGTCCAGCCGTGCGCCATTCTAATGCCCTGCCGGTGTCCATGCGCAAGGCTGCAATTGAGTTTTGAACCCGCAACCTCATACCACAATGTACATTTCCAACCGTTGCTCTAACCACTGAGCTACATCAACTGGACACGCCCATGCTCATTCTGTTTTTCTCATACCAGGGTTATTTTCTTCCCCCCTGCCCCTACCTGCCCCTACCCGCCCATGATCTCCACACGGGCAACTGTGCCCACCCTAACAATGCCCACAATATTTTTTTGCCTGCCCATACCCAACACCCTCTTCGGAAGGGGTACCCAGCCCCTCCCTAACCTTGCAGTTGTGTACGGTCGGGTACGGGCAACGGTTACCCGTTTGCCCTCTCTGCAACCAACCAACCAACCAACCAACCACCCATCCACCCAACCA